AATTATGTCATTTATCTTGCATAATATAGGACAACTACTGAATTTTTTATTTCCATCTTGCATAGGCTGATGCGGCACGGGATATCAGTGCCGATATCACCGCAGTCCAGGTGAGGTTGAGCAGAGGTTTGCACTTGACTGACGTTGAGCAGAGGTCGACCTTCGACCGGATGCAGGAGAAGATGCGTGCGGTCATGCGCGTCTTCTCCTGCCGCAGCGCCGTGGACGTCGTACCTCCAGCTGGTCCGGTACACCCACGGCCTCGCGGTCCTACCGTCGGAGCAGGACCTCGTTTGTCTTCGAGCGCCCCTAGCTTCGGAGCAGTGCGACCTACAGCACCGGTTTCGCACGGTACAGTTCAGCCCAGATATTAGTTCATTTTTGTTTCAGCTTTTGCACGAATGTGTCACCATGATTTAACTGCACGTTTCCTCATCGCAGGACCTCGTATGCCTTCGAGCGCGTTCGCAGGCACGACCGGCGCTTCCGCGAGCTCCGCAGGGGCGTTCGCCACCTCTTCGGGCGCGTTCGCCAGCTCTTCCTCTCACGGAGCGTCGATCCCTCACCCACACGGTACTTTACTTTTTATTAATACTGTTAAATACCTGTACGAAACTGATGGTCCTTGTCCAGCAGGATTTGCAGCCGGGATCTTCGGTACTGGGGCCTCTTCGTCTCACGCCGGTAGGACTGGTCCTACTAGCCAGTTCTACGACGACGACTTGCACGGTGCAGACCACCAGGACGTACTAGGCTCCTCTCAGCTTGGAGGAGCTCCAGAGGCGCACACTCAGGAGCAGCCAGAGGTCACACCTGTACAGGCAGGACGGGTTGGCCGTGCCGTACCCCCGGACCGACTCACGTACTCCCAGGGGCACATTAGGGCGCAGGGTAGGAGGGACAGGGGTAAGAGGCCTCGTCAGTAGTGTTCTACCTCTTCAGTCCTTATGTGACCGTTTCTTTTGGCTTACAAACTTGTAAAGCAGTACTACTTTTGCTATTACTACTGCAGTACTACTTGTGTTTGTCTCGTCTACGTAGTTCTTTTCATTCGTATTGTGCTCGAACAACTTATGCTCACAACAACACACTTTCGGCGCTTCACGGTAGTGCCATATCCAGTAGCGCGCACAGTCCACAACAGCACACATGAAAATGGAAGCCTATTAATTGGTAATACGTAATCTACAATTGAGATTATGTACAACATTCTTCACTACAATTTTACATTTTGGCAGCAAACCAAATATGATCAAATGCAATTTTACCTTACCAAATATTTGGTAGTGCCAAAACTTGCTTATATTTTGGCATTAACAAAATATTTGTACGGTAACATTCCAAATATGCCCTAAAAAATAATAAAATTGTATTTTACCAGTCTTGGAGATTTTAATCTTGTATAGTTTTCAATATAAAAAGATTTGATAACTATTGATATTTATATAAAAAAAATATAGAGCACAGTGCAAAATCGCCCTAGCGGAGGGCGGCAAGGGGGCCGCCTGCAAAATTCCATGCCCCCTCGCCGCCCATTTGCAGGCGGCCCCCCGCACAGTGCAAAATCGCCCTAGCGGAGGGCGGCAAGGGGGCCGCCTGCAAAATTCCCTGCCCCCCTCGCCGCCCATTTGCAGGCGGCCCCCCGCACAGTAGAAAATCGCCCTCGCGGAGGGCGGCAAGGGGGCCGCCTGCAAATTTCGTTGACGGCCGTCGCCCGAGAGCGAACGGCCGTCTGCCACGTCAGTTTCGCCGCCCTCTGGGAGGGCGATTTTTAAAAATCGCCCTCCCAGAGGGCGGTAGGCGACTATTTCCGTTAATTTTCAAAATGGAAAATTATTTTTGTAAAACTTTTAATAAAAAAAATTATAAATAAAAAAAATTCCACCGGTTCGCAGGCTCCGGCTAGCGCCTCACTCCCGGCAGGGCGCAGGCAATGAGACATACTAGCAATCTACTCCCTCAGTCCCATAATATTGCAATCTATGACCGGATAAGACATTTCATAGTACAACGAATCTGGACAGATGCATGTCCAGATTCATTGTACTATGAAACATCCCATCCAGTTCTAGATTGTTATATTATGGGACAGAGGGAGTAGCATGCAAGCTGCACAGCACAAGAAGGAAATCGAAGATTGCCAACATGTCACACGAGGAACCCATGCTAGCATTTTGACTAAACTTTAATTGGCTTTGAAGAACGACCCAACAACACAAAAATGTATTTTATACATAGCATATAAGAAATAAAGCATATTTTAATAAAAATTAAAGATGCAAAAAAACTTGAAACTTATACACAAACTTCCACGTTTTAAGAGCTAAAAAATCATATTTCTTTGAAACTTCTAATAGGATAAAACAATTATTAACTTGTATGTCCAAAAGGATATTTTGGGTATTTTGAAATAATGGCCTAACACAATAACGTATTAAAACAATTGATGAAATCATTGTTATATTATAGAAATAGATAATATTAATGGCAATCCCCTGTTTCGAAATTTCCAAACCCCTAGCGCTGGGGTGGCGACGATGGCGGCGGAGCCGCGTGGGTCACTTCGCCGGCGGCGGGGGAGTGCAGCAAGGGTGGCCAGCCCGAGTGGCGGCTCACCCTCACCTCACGGCGAGGAGCTCGCGGCCGCCGCCACCGAGCGCGACAACCTCGCGACCTCTGTCAAGGTCCAAGCACGAGTTCTGGCTCTCTCCCCGTCAGGGTTTCCCAAACCGCCGGGGCCGGGGTTACCGTGCCCCGGCGGTAAGCACGGTTATCGCGCGGTAACCGCGGTAACCGTGAAAAACCGTGCAAAATTTATCAAAAATTCAAATTATTTTTAAAATTTATTTGAATTTAAGGAGGTTACCACGGTATTTATATCACCATACTCCGCGGTAAGCCCGGTAACCGCGGTAACCCCGCGGTTACCGGCGGTAAGGTAAACCCTGCTCCCGGCCACGTCCAACTCCCCACCACCAGCAGCAGGAATCCGAAACGCTCTCGCATTTGGGATTTGGGAGTCCGTCGCAGACTGCGCGACACGATGGATCCACTGCCTACTACTATACGGTGTGTGTGGTTCGACACACACATAGCACATAGCAGCAGCTTGTCTCTACAATCATGTCGTCGCTTGCGCATCTCGCCAAGATAGTCTCTCTCGATGCTGTCTTGCGTTCAGATTGCGTCGTGCTATTCGTGCTATTAGAAACAGACTCGATGACAAGGACGTATTCAATGTGAGCAAAAATATTGGGTGCCGAATCTCTGAAAACAGTCTTGACGATAAGGACGTACTCGGAATAATTAAAAAAAAAGAGTTCAAATAAATGTTGAAAATTCTCTTGGTTATGTTTGTGATGGATCTAATTTGAGAAAGAGTAATATTGCAATAGGTTTATATATAGGGGCTATTCTTTCAACCTATGTGCTTGTGAATATGTTGCATTATAAATCGTTTGAAATCATGAATCTTTATTGCTAATTTGAGCTTAATTGTAATATATTTGATTCATGTTTATACTACGATGCATGCTTGTTAACTAGCTAATGAATTTATCTCTCTTGTATTCCAAAACATGACCTTGAATTGCTTTAGGTACACTTCAAAGCTCTCGGAAAAAAAATAGAAAATAGAAAATAAAAAAAATTGGTTATTACAAGTGGCAATCATGACATCATTGCATTTATTCTTGGTGAAATTATTGTCAAAGGGAGTGAAATATACAAAATGTATGCTTCTTGAAAGGGGAGAATTGAATTGTTTTGATTTTAAAAATAGCCGATTTTGTACTTTGATTGCAAAATTGATGGGAGAAATTCTTTCTTTTAAAAAGGGGGAGAGTTTTTCTTTTTCACTTTTGTGATTTTTGTTTTTATTTTTCAAGAACACAAAATTATATTTTGGTGCCAATGTGTTCATCAAGGGGGAGATTGTGAAATCATTGTCATGATTAATATTTTGTGATGAACAATTGGCTATGCAAATGATTTAATCAATGAAGTGGTTTGAAAAGATGTGTGGATGTTGGTGTGAGTGCGTGTGACTAATGTGGATCAGGTTGTGATATCTGTGCTCAGAAATGGTTGTTTTGTCTGATTGTGTGCAGGTGACTTGAGGTCAGCCTTGGTCAATGGTGAGGACCAGGACTATGCTCAGAGTAGTGCAGAGGTCTAGTGCAGTCGGGATACCACGTGAGAAGGTGACTAGAGTTAGGATTCTTGGGGTCAACTTCGGTCAACGGTGGGATCGAGACTAGACTCAGGGAGGAATTGAGATGCAGACGGTCAAGGATACTGGATGACGAAGTTGGATACGAGATGGCACATGGTGGATGAATATCATGTGGGAGAGATTTTCGTAACGGGCTTCACGAGGTATGCGTGCAAGCGTCGGTTTTCGTGAAGGAGATTCGAAGAAACTGGAGAGGAGTACTCCCTCCGTCCCAAAAAAAGACAAACCCTGCTTTCCGTGTCCAACGTTTGACCGTTTGTCTTATTTGAAAAAATTATGAAAAAAATTTAAAAGATAAGTCACGCATAAAGTATTAATCATGTTTTATCATCTAACAACAATGAAAATACTAATTATAAAAAAATTTCATATAAAACGGACAGTCAAACGTTGACACAGAAATCAGGGTTTGCCTTTTTTTTCGACGGAGGGAGTATATATGGTGCTACAGTGCTTCGGGTACTGTAGCATGCACATGTATGCGTACTATACAGCTAGCTTGCTTTTGGTTGTGTTGGCGTTGGCTGGTTGGTCCAGGAGCGAGCTTGGCGTGTGCATGGAGGCAGGCCGACAGACAGCAGGTTGTTCGGGTGGCAAGCGGCAGTCCGAGTCCGACTCGGTTGGATGGCAGGCCGAGTCGGCCCAGGTGGCCCACGCGGCAGGAGGCAAGAACGATTTGCAGTCCGACTCGGTTGGAGTTGGCTGCGGTTTTTATTTAGAGATTGAAGATTGAGTTCTAGAGGAACTAGGAGGTTCACTTCTACTTTGTCTAGGAGGATTTTGAGTATAAAACTACATCAACTTGAAAAGAACACCAACAAATAAGGTGGAAGAATGACAAGACAAGGCAGCACATCGGTGACAATACTACCAGTAACGATGAGCCCCGCCATGGCCGCTAGAAGCGAGCTTCTCCGGCCGGCATTTGGTGAAGCATCTCCTTCGCTAGGACGGTTTGTCATTAACCCTCACAGCTGCAGCTACAGGTGGTGGCACATGTTCCTGATCATGCTGGTGTTGTACTCGGCATGGGCATCGCCGTTCGAGCTGTCCATGGAGAAGGCAGCCTCCATTGCTCTTGTTGTCACAGACCTGGTGGTCGATGTCTTCTTCGCCATTGACATTGCCTTATCCTTCTTCGTCGCATACCGTGACACCTCCACCGGCCTCCTCATAACTGACCGCAGGAAGATCACAATGAGGTACCTGAAACGGCCGTGTTTCGCTCTGGATGTGGCCTCGACGATTCCTTTACAAATAATCTACCAGCTTGTGACTGGCAAAAGACAAGGACTGTGGGGGCTCCTCAATCTTCTCCGTCTTTGGCGACTACGGCGCGTCAGCAAGCTCTTTGCGAGGGTGGAGAAGGACATCAGATTCAACTATTTGTGGACCAGGCTTATCAAGCTCCTTTGTGTGACACTGTTTGCGCTGCATTTTGCCGCTTGCATCTACCTGTGGATGGCATTCAACTACAAGATCAAGGAGCTTACATGGATAGGCAGCCAGATCCATAGCTTTGAGGACCGAAGCGTGTGGTTTTGCTACACCTGTGCAGTGTACTGGTCCATCACCACGCTTGCCACGGTCGGCTACGGTGACCTACATGCCACCAACATTGGCGAGATGCTTTTCAGCATAGCCTTCATGCTTTTCAACATGGGCCTCACATCCTACATCATCGGCAACATCACCAACCTCGTTGTCCGTGAAACCTCCAACACCTTCAAGATGAGGGACATGGTGCAGCGGGTGTCGGAGTTCGGGAGAATGAACCGGCTGCCAGAGGCGATGAGGGAGCAGATGTTGGCCAGCGTGCAGCTCAGGTTCAGGACAGATGAGCAGCTGCAGCAGGAGATGTTGTCAGAGCTGCCCAAGGCTGTGCGGTCGGGCGTCATGAAGCACATGTTCAAGAGTGCTATCGAGAGCTGCTACCTATTCCAGGGAGTCTCCGACAGCCTCATTGTGCAGCTGGTCGCGGAGATGAAAGCAGAATTCTTTCCCCCCAAGGCTAATGTTATCCTAGAGAATGAGACCTCGACGGACTGTTATATCATCATCTCTGGCGAAGTGGAGGCATTGACAACCCTTGCAGATGGGACAGAGAAGCATGTGAAGAGAATAGGACCTCGGGGCATGGCAGGGGAAATCGGGGTGATGTTCAGCATTCCGCAACCATTCACCATCCGGAGCAGGAGACTCACCCAGGTTGTCCGCATAAGCCATATCCATCTGCTTCAGGCTGTCCGGCCTAACACCGCAGATGGGTACATCGTGTTCTCCAATTTTATTCAGTACCTTGAGTCTCTGAAGGTGCAAACAAAGGATGTGGCTTTTGTCAGCGATCATCTTTGGAATGGAAACTCAATGGTTTTGAGAAGGGCAACCGAGGTTGCTGTAGATGAATCAAAAGAGGCCGCTCACAAAATGTTACCATGCAAAGAACCCAAACGGGTTGTTATTCATGAGCAACTTCCCAACGCGACTAGCACAGCACTGCATCCTTCGCCGGGGAAGCTCGTCTTACTCCCAGATTCGATGCAAGAACTGATGAAACTTTCAGAAAAGAAATTTGGGAAGGCCGTGAGAGGGATCCTCACTGTGGAAGGAGCCGAGGTTGAGGACATTGAAGTGATAAGAGATGGCGATCACCTGTTATTTAGTTAGTAGGATATGCCATATGCTGTGGCAGATTGTAAATGTATATGATATGAGCATTTATATATGTTCAAAAAGATAATATTAATGGCAAATCGTTGCACTAGGACAAACTTAATGATATAAAATAGGTTTTCTCAAATCTTATTAAGAGTGCATCCGTATATACATAATATTCATATAAACCAAGATTTAAATCATAATGATTAAAGTCATGCAACTATAACTCCACTACCATACACCAGTGCTTCTCCAAATATGGCATTTTGTAAGTACACGAACAATACCTATGATGCAATACAATGTATTTGGGATAACTTCATTTCCCAATTACTTTATACAGTACTCCTAAATGATAGGCTCCGGCAAACTGTACTTTGTGAAGATGCCCTCTCTTCCTCCAACTTGACGAACACACTACCATCATATATACCTCTCACACTATCCTTGTGAAAATATCCGTTCTTATCACTTGCAAGACCATAAATTAGCCCCCACTCCTGTATAGGTGCAGCCCTGTGTTTTCAAGGAAAAGGTGTAATTAAACTTAAGTAATCACAGGTAACCATTTTTGTTAGAAACTTTAATTTTGTTTTAATGAAAACCAAGAACTTATAGCATCAACTAAGAGCATGCATTTTCTTTTTCATTTGATATGGATAACGGCTTAAAAGGATGTTTTTAGAATGGAAGATCTATATATTAAGACAACAATCCTCCTTTCATGTTCAACTTCAAAACCAGTAGAATTAACATCCTCAATTGTATTTATTATGGTTTTAGAACAGATAGATAAGGGTTTCATTTACATATCTAAAGGGGTATTTGGTTGCCAACCACAGTTTGACCACATTCTGTTTGGTTGTAGCCACAATTATGGCAAGATTCTTTTCTAATAAACTAGGTCTCACGTGTCATTGACTCAAAGAAGTGTGGCGATGCTCCCTTAGATTTGATAAGGTGTGGCCAATAATGTGATCGCCTCAACTTAGGCAAGTGGTAATATTTGTTAGCAAATTAGTCCCGTTCTTTTCTTCAACAAGAGTTGGATGAAAATTAAGATTTTTGTGGCACACTTTTCAAACTGCTAAACGGTGCGTTTCGTGCGAAAACTTTCTATATGAAAGTTATTCTAAAATATCGTATTAATCTAGTTTTCAAGTTTGTAATAATTAAAACTCAATCAATCATACGTTAATACCACCTCGTTTTGCGTAAAAAACTTAATCTTCATCTTCATATTCATCTTTAGGAGAAATGAACACCATCTAAGTGTCATTCACTTTCCTACTTTTGGCAGCATATACCTATGTTGGTGTTGGTGTAGAGGCCAGGTTTTACCTATTATTTTAAAAAATAAATCCACTTTCCTACTAGGAAACCACATCATTGAAAATCACCACTATGACAACCAAAACATGGTGATTGAAAGTTTAAGGTAAAAAGATATACTTTGAATACAGTTCAATGGTCAAAAATGAACTTATAGTTGCCCCAAGAACGTAATTGACAGTTTTTTTTTCTTTTGTGTGGGGAGCAATTGATAGTAACTGACCAAACATATTAAGAAAATTACCATGATTGTGGGTCATCTGGATCTCGATTTGCTAGAATCATCTCTTTGACCTCCAAGGATGTTAATGCATCTGGTCTATTTTTTGCGTGTTTCGAGAAAATTTCCTCAAACTTTGCAGGAACAAACCTGAAAATCATCATGTTTAATATATATATAGATCCAAACAAAGTGTAGAAATCTTCAAAAAGAGCATGCAATTAATTCTAAAGACCAGGCCTAAATAGGCCTCGCGCATACTGAATATGTGCAAATAAGATGCAATATAATTATTAAAATTAAAACAAATTGATACTTATGGAATTTGAGTCCAAAAATAATTGAGTTTTGCATGGTTTCATGACAAGAAAGAAGTGATAATTTGAACCATAAATATATTATTCAAAGGCTAGAAATAATTGAGGTGATGTGGCTTAATGAGAGAAGAGAAAAATAACATTAATTACACTTAGTGGGGATGAACTATATAAGTATATAGGATTACACTCGAATAAATGTAGGATGATGCCATGACCATTTTGATTTAAGGAAAAAATTAGTGTGTTACTATTATGACCTCTGAATTAATTGCAACACATACCGTACGAGAAAAGAGTGTGTGGGAGGAATTTTTGCCAAGGCATAACTTAATTAATCATGTATAGTATTACTAATGTATGTAAAGTGGAATAAAATATGCATCTAAAAGTTGTATTTCCTATTAAACAAAAGATAGAGTATATCAAGCAAATGTTCAAAACTCACTAAAGTTCTTTTGTATGTACTCCTAAAGCATTTAAACTAATAATATGTAATTATCTTGCTATTTAGATACATATGCATCACATATTATTGTTAATATGCTTGACATTAATTATATGATATCATGTGATATCTTCTAACACTTATGTAAGATATGTATATATAGGCATGTGGTTGGTGTTACCTTCCTTTAGCATCTAGTGCACCTGTGTCACTCCCGTGCATTCCTTTATAGATGTTCTTTATGTATATCGACAAGTGAGGTAATGGTGCGTCCTTCTGCACATTTGAATACGGAAACAATATCTGGTCAATTATTTCCTTGTGTGTACAATAAATTAAATAGCATATCTAGTTAGTCTATTTTGGACCAAATTCATAATAAACATGTCATTATTTTTATATGATTTGTTTAGAATTAGGGTTATGAGAGGGATTGAGAGAGTACGGGGCTTGTTTTAGGACCAAGACCAGCATGCACAGGGGCGGCAAAGTCTCTAGCAAATGCATAGTCACAACCGATTGCAACAATCCCTGCAATCCAAATTAAGCAGTATACGTTAGTAAGATATAAATTTGTAGTGATTTTATATAGACTAGTTCCAATAATATGTGCTAATGCACACATCAATTGTGATCATTTTTCATGCATGTGAATATCCAAAACTCAGGTTAGGCATTTTGGCCACCTTAATCCGTGAATGAATTAATTAACCAAGCACAAGAGTGAAATAATCTAACTCTCCTTGTGTTATAAGCATATATAGTAAGAAATTCGGACCAAACTGGCGGTTGAACGGAATAACTGGAACAAATAGCATGAGCAGCTCAATTATCGCAGTTGAACTGATGTGACCCGGATAACCAGGTGGTTTCTCATGTGATTAAATGATCTAACATAAACCGAGCTGGCTTAACGAGCGCACCAACAAAACTTGACCCACTAAATGCGATAATCGATCCGTGGTGGGTGGGATAGCCATCGGGGACCAACGTGCCCGCCTGCGAAAATCATCTCAGCAAATAAAAAAAAATCCACCACCCCTACCCACCGGCGGCAGCCCTACCCACGGGCACCGCTACCAGCTTCCCCCTCCGGCTGACGGCTCTCCTCCGTCCGCCACCCCACATAGGAGAGGGAGGATCTGAGCCACCGCCTCTCCTCCTCCTTCTGCCGGCCTCCACAGGCGTCATTGTCATCATCGTCGCGTCGCCGCCATCATCGTCACGGCAGTCATCGACGTTGTCGTCGCCTCAATGTGGTCATCGTCGCGTCGGCGCGTTCTTCGTCGTCATCGTCGCATCGACGAGGAGGGGAGCCGGCGGCGGCGGCAGAAGCGGCGAGGATGCGAGCCGTTGTCGTCGCGCGTCGTGGCTGGCGGCGGAGGCAACGAGGAGGGAAGTTGGCGACGGAGGCGGCGAGGAGGCGAGCCGGCGCATTGCACGTCGTGGCCAGTGGCGGAGGCGGTGAGGAGGGATGCCGGTGGCGGAGGCAGCGAGGAGGCGAGCCATCGTCGTCGCGCGTCGTGGCCAGCAGAGGAGGCGGCGAGGAGGGGAGCCGGCGGCGGAGGCAGCGAGCTGTCGTCATCGCTCGTCATGGTCGGCGGCGAAGGGGGCAAGGAGGGGAAGTGGCGGAGGCGGCGAGGAGAGCGGGCGGAGCCACCGCCCACACCACTCCTCGGAGCCGCCGCCGACACCGCCGCTCGTCGGAGCCACTGCCGCCGCCATTGCCCTGTTGCTCGTGAGAGGGAGAGAGGGAGAGAGAGGGGGGGGGGGGGGGAATGAGTGGTGGGGAGGGGTTGAGTTGAAGAAGATAAGGACTCGATGACTTAGATTTTTTTTCGTGGAGGCATGATTTTGCAGGCTGTTCCGCCTGCGAAAATCAATTTTTTCAGGCAGATCACTTAAGAGGTCCGCCTGGAAAAATTGATTTTTGCAGGCGGATGACGGAAGTTCACCCCGGTTTATATTTTTGTAGGCAGATATTTGACTCCGAGGGTTATACCCGCCTGGAAAAATAAAAGGCCAACGTCGCTAAAAATCGTTTCTCTAGTAGTGTAGGCAGTTGACCACTTACTGCTAAATAGTATAAATGTTAAATGTAGTTAACTAATACCTGTGTTTCATATTATAAGTATTAAATGGCAATAAGGCGCGAGGGGCCGATCCACGGAACTACCATTTGGCTTGACCCAAGCACGGCACAAGACGATTGGTGTCAGGCCCATGACTGGCACGGCACGGTCCAGTAAGCAGGGGCGGAGCTAGAATAAAATGAAGGGGGGTTCCACTCGCTTACTTTACTCTGGTTTGAATCAAATTTAGCTTGATACGGGTGCCTAAGTTTATACTGACGGGGTATATATATGGCGAAAATAGATAAACTATAGGTAATTTTTTTTGAATCGGGTTCCTGGGCACCCCCTAGCTATATTAGCTCCACCCCTGCCAGTGAGTAGGGAAGAAAATAGTTGAGGGACCTAAAATAGACTTAATTCAGCCATACACGGCATGGCCCAAAAGAGAGGATGGATGCTAAATATACTTACTCTAGCCATATGTGATACTACCCAAAGTGATGAGGGAGGAAAAATAGACTTATTCTATGGACAAGCACAATAGGTCATCGTGTCTTCAGGCCGGGCCGGCATGGCCTGAGTCTTATTGTGCCTAGGCTGTTGGTGTAGCCTGTGGGCGGGCACGGCCCGATGTGTAGGTCAGGTCGTGCCGGCACGACTGATCTCCGCCCGGGCCGGATCATGCTCGGGCAGTACGGCCCATTTGGCCATCTATAATTATAAGTCGTCTAATTTTTCTCCTAGTCAAACTTCTATTAGGAAAAAATTAATAACATCTAAAATATCAAATTACTTTCTTTAAATCTAATATTGAATATATTTTGATAATATACTCGTTTTGGGTTGAAAATACTATTTTATTTTTTCTATAAGCTTGAACAAACTTAAAAAAGTTTAACTTGAAAAAAAGTCAAACGACTTATAATATGAAACAGAGAGAGTACTAAACCTCAGTTTAATGGGTGGTTCACTTGTTGAACGGAGGAACGGAGGGACCGGTGAACCGAGAGTATGACCAGCTGGTTGGGTGGCTGGTCCAACCTTTTGCACTATGGTTCTATGGATCGATAACCTAAGTAAACCACCCCCCCCAACATTCAACCCATAAAAAAAATATAACCACACCCCCCCTCCCCCAACATTCAACCCAAAAAAAAAAAAACTAACTAGTAGATTTATTGTCAAACACGAAAACTAAAGCCCAATTACGAGAAGCAATTATTAAGAATCTATACAAGTTAGAATTATCCAACTTTGTTCTAGGTACTAGTTCAATGTCTGGATTGTATAGTTATTAGGTCTCATAGTCTAGGGGAGACTGGTGTTTGGGGATCCTAGGATTTGGGAGTATTTACCACTATCAGGAGCTCATTCAAACATAGACCAGGTGTAAGGGGATCACCTTAGCTCAAATTTTCTCAAGCCTTATTATATTGACCTATAAGTAAATATAAAATTCTGTAAATTAAAACTGGAGCCTTATGTTTTTTTTAACATCCATATGAGCAGGTTTATGAAACAGTAACCAAAGGCTTCGAGTTGGCTCGAGATCACAAACCACTCGATAATTAAGCCAGCCAAGTTAAGAAAAAAATCAAACTGAATTTAAACTATTTTTATTTTTTTTAACTTCGCCGTAATCCGTGGTTTTCGCATATGCCAAGTTTTTTTAAAAAAAGCTGAATTTAAGCTCTATATAAGATTTTGTCAAACTTCACTGATAGTCCACGGTTTTCGCGCGGACCAGAAAAACGTATATATTGAGTCCACACATTTGCCACGTATTGGCAGTATCAATAGTGGCAACACCAACCATAACTACCAGCAAAGCAGCTGGACCACACGTCTCCTCTTTGTGATTGGCGTCTCCTCTTCTCCTCCACACATCTCGAGGTAGATTTTTTAAAAAACACAGAGTTTTTGCACACCTATCACTATGGCTTGCGCTCAATATAACATAATCCTTACAGGCTTAAATAACATTACCTTAACTATGCATTTGCTAGCTTTATATATATGGCTGCTACAATGAAGTTCTGAATTTAAATCATATAGGAGTAGCTAGAGTAAAATATATATCGGTTTTGAACTTATGTATATGTACATATCTCTCCATGCCAAACTAGCACAATATTTTCGGAACTCATTGTTTAATACATCTAATCACCTTCAATGGTCTCCGACGGAGTAATAATGCCATCCTTGTTCCGGTCGAAGAACGAAACATGTTTATGTAGCGCCGTCATGTTGGCGATATCAATTTCCGCCGTTACATGTCCCCCTAAAAAAAAATCGCAGCAACAACAACATGCAAGTTAATTAGAAAATTTGTATGCCACCACTTCCTTTTTCGCTGAAAGGGTTACACCAAGATTTTACAGCCTGAAATCATTCATTTAATATTTGAATTTCATCTGTATAACATGAAGGTGGATATATAAAAAGAAAGATCTGGAAAAACAAGGCAGGTGCCAGAGGGACTTACAGCCAAGGACCCATAGAAACAGAAGAGCAAGCACCGGATTGCCAGCAGCTGCCGACGACGGTCGTTGGGCCCTCATCGCCGCGCAGAATTGCTCCCAAATGGAATCGCATATACCAGCTTAAATAGCTAGCTAGGGAAGAACTAACAAGACTTTGGATCGGGTGCGGTTGCTATAGCTACCGCCGCCCGTTAGCAGTCGGATGATATGGTGGGTTTTGGATCGAGCAAATAGATGGTCAGATTTGAGCCACATGTATATAAATAGCAACTGCCTACTCCTATCTTACTGTAAAGTTATAACCCACTAATTCTAAAGCTCAACATGCAGACATGTCACATTATCATTTACAAGCAATAATTACATATAAAACTAATGTAAGCACGCAACATCATCTATAATTCATTGAATTCTACAAATTAACATCCAATCATCTTCCTTCACATATTTTTCATAATATTTTTAACATATATATCCTTCATTTTTATAATATTTAACATATATTCATTTGTATAATCAAAGTGCGGACTATTATATTTCATCTACAATCTCATACAGAGTCTACTAATTGTATTTCTCTCCGAACATAGTTTGATAAATCAGTTTTATTTGTTGTTAATAACTATTATAATTTTTACTTTTAACTCGATTATTTAAAAAATATTAAAAATTACTTAGGAATTTCCACAGGAAAGCGCGGGGAATAAACTAGTATGGGTTATAGTATTTGCCTTGATTTGTACTCTCATAAACAGTGGTTGTGTAAGATTTGATTTAACGGTGGATAACGTAAATACTAAAATTGCAATTGCTATAGGCACCCAACACAGGATCTGATTGAACTAACAATGAGGAGGAGAGGAGGAGGTGGTAGGTACAATGAGGTGGTAGGTACAACGATATATTGATGTACAAGATATATTGATTGATGTGTAACACATGGCTCTCAGTAATCTAATCTTCTTTTATGCAAAACTAGCTTGTTATTCTTTCCATTTCAGGTTATAAAACATTTTGACTCAAAATCAAACTATTTTAAGTTTGACCAAGTTTATAAAAAAAATAGTAACATTTTTAACCCAAGATAAATTTATTATGAAAGTATATTTAATTATTGATTTGATGAAACTAATTTAGTATTATAAATATTACTATATTTATCTATAAACTTAGTCAAACTTAAAACAGTTTGACTTTGACTAAAGTCAAAACGTCTTATAACCTAAAACAAAGGGAGTACATCACAGAAAAGTTTATTTTTAGATAATAACATCATGGAAAAGTAAATTGGCATTTCTAGATCTCATAAAGAGAATATATTGGATTACGAAATGGAAATACAGAATATGTTGAGCCAAATATGCGCATGTCTAATAACTCTATGATGATTCTTCTGCAAGCTTGGCAGAAACTAAACCATACAAAGTTGAAGAAGATTCAATGTGTAATTTACGTTTCTTTTATTTAGTGAATATTAATTAGTCTTTTTTTTTTGGAACAACAAGCGTAGTTATACAACCCGAAGTAGAGAAAGCACATGTGGTGTGGTGGTGAGGTCGGAGGTGTATAAGTCCATCCGTTAGGTTTTAAATAGGAAAAATTTGAACCATGCCACACAAATTTTGCAAAATTTATGATATGCTACCCTGACCTACATGTGATTTTTCCATGCGGTTGTTCGGCCCGTCTGCAGCCGAGTGTCTGGGAAAATCAGTATTTTCGCGTGCGGGCGGGCCGACCGCACGGGATAATCAATTATCCCGTGCGGTTGTGTTATACCACCCGCACGGAAAAAAAACCAAAAAATTAAAAAAAAAGAGCAAAAATCGCCGCCGGCCGCCACATCGCTCCCTTGACGACGCACGCGACGACCAGGAGGAGGACGACGAGCGCATGATGAAGCCTTGCCTCGCTGCTCGCCGCCGCCTCGCCCAGGCCGCCGCTGCGCCCGACCGCCGCCACCTCGGCCTGGCCGCCGCGCTCGAGGTCGTAGGCGTCGTAGTCGAGGAAGTTTGCCATGGCGGCGCTCGAGGTCGTAGACGTCGTAGTCGAGGAAGTTTGCCCGTCGTCAATGTCGCCGTCACCACCGTCGTCGGCGTGGCCTTGCCCGAGACCCGCCGCCGTCGTCCCCGCGGTCGCCGGTGACGGAGCCGGCCTCCCCGCGGCGGCAGGCGACGGATCCAGCCTCCCCGCGGCGGCCGGCGACGGATCCAGCCTCCACGCGGCGGCCGGAGATGAATCCGCTCCACCGCCACCACCGTAGCCGATGTCGCGCCGCCACACTCCTTGATGCCGCCGACGATGCCCATGCGGCGCCCGCCGATGCCGCCGCCGATTCAGCCGCGGCGCCCGCTGATGCTGCCGCCGATGCAGCCGCGGCGCCCGCTGATGCCGCCGCCGCCATCGATGCCGCCACCTCCGCTGCCCTAATCGAGGGCCCTGGCGTCGCCGAGGAGGAGGGAGAGGGAGATGGGAGGATGGGGAGGAGGAGAGTGAGAGTGAGAGTGAGAGTGAGAGGGAGGGGGAGGATGGGAGGATGGTGGGGGGAGGGCGCAATAATGGCTGCACGTATGCGCCCGTGAGGTGGAGAGGGAGAGGATAAGGATGCCAGCACGTGGGGTGGGCTATTTTCGTGTGCGGGTCACTTAACAGGCGTGCGGAAAATAGATTTTTCTGTGTGGGCGACTCCCTGATGCCCGTCCCTCATTTTTCTGTGCGGTTGCACTTATGGGCCCCTTGGAAACAAATTAGTCTATTGTTCGGTAAAATCTTTCACGTAGTAGTGACAACACACGGAAAAGGTGATACATGTGTGTTAATCAATTCATCCGCATCTACATTTATCTTATGATCGGGTGCCCATTTATTTATACTATTTGATGAGTAAAGTACAACAAAAATATATCCTAATTCATGACTACATTACAGTTGTTGCTACAAAAGAAATTCCTCTAGGAGCATTTCATTAGCTATGTTTATAATAGGCAAAATTTACTTTAGGACAAACTAAATTCGCGGCCGCTTTAGGATATATAATTTAGTTCCGTGGTTTGTCATAGGACGTTCTAGTTTTATGCTTATTTGCCAAAAGACACTTCGACCACAATGAAGCAATAAAACCTTGCAAAAGATGATTTTACCCTTGAATCACCTTGCAAATTTTAAATTTCAACACATTTTGCTTGAATTTAAACATATTTTACAAAATTCAAAACTTGTCCCAAATTACGGAAATCAAATGCATTCCATTTTTTCAAAAATATAAATAAATTTTGAAACACTATTGTCTTAATTTAAACAACTGTATTAAATTTCAACACATTTTGCATGAATTTGAACATATTTTACAAAATTCAAACTTGTCCCAAATTACGCAAATCAAATACATTCCATGTTTTCAAAAAAATAAATAAATTTTGAAACACTATTGTCTGAATTTAAAACTGTTTGAAAATTTTTCAATTTCCGTAATCTGAGACAACTTTTAATATAAAATGTTTAGAATCAACTAAAATGTGTTCAGATTTAAATGAGATCCGCGGCAGTGGTTGGCATTGGAAGCCGAGGCGAGGCGAGGCGACGCCGGCGGGAGGAGGCAAGAGGCCTTGCTTAGTTCGAAGTGATGATCTGATGGCTTTTTAAGGGTTTTATAACTGGACCACTCCAGCAGGGGCAACACAAGTCCGTGTTGATGATGTGATTTTTTTTTTTTGGTGTGTGCTCCACTGCAAAAGTAGGGTGCATGGCTGTATTCATGTCAAGAAAGCACATTCGTAGTATCACAAGTATGGTTAAAAAAAAATGCAAATTGAAAAAAGTATGGTAAAAATGCAAAAACTTTTGCCAAATAATCAAAGCGCGTATATATCATTTTTTTTCCGAGGAACATATATGTTTTTCATACTACTTCTATATTAAGGAAAAGGTTCTCCTCTATCCTAAAATATAAAGAGTTTTTGTTTAATAAGATACATCCTACTAATGGCTTTGTTCGGCTGCCATTGCTATGCAGCCGCAGCGCTGCATCTCATGTATGCAAAAACTGAATCAACAATAGTAGTTCTGTTTAAGCTGCTGCAGCCTGCAGCCCAGCCGCCTTAACGGGCAGCCGAACAGGCCCAATACGAATCTAGCTGGTTAGATGGGACACATCCTAATATTACGAATATAGTTGGCTATATTTTTATAGTATTATATTTTTAGTATTAGGATGTGTCTCATCTAACCAAAACTTCTTATATTTTAAGACATTTTGAGACGAAGAGAGTAGTTGTTCCATATTACTCTCATATTTTTCATGTATTGAATACCCTCGAGACTTGGTTGGAAATATTCAATTACTGCTGTCTAAGAGATACTACTCCTCGTCAGATACATTGGTAGAAATGTATAAACGTACAAAGAACAAATGCATTGCACCGTATTCACCGAAACATACTCATCATGCTCCTTCGAAAAAATATAGAGCCTGTTCATTTTGATGCCAAAAAAAAACCTTAACAAAATTTGGCGTTGCCAAAATTTTAGCATAGTTGCCAAAATTTTAGCTTGACAACTTACCAAAATTTTGGCAGGATTTCTTATATAGTTACCAAAATTTAGCAGCAAACTAAATGTAGCCATTTTTGGCAACTTTATCAAAATTTGGTAAGGTTGACAATGGCACATGCCCATAGTGTGTGTACAGTACGGTTGAAAGGATCGCCCTTGGCGTTTGGGCCGGATAGCTGCCGGGAGGCGGCCCTCTATAGCATCAACTACTGGGCTTGCCTCTTGCCCAAGCCACGGGCCTGAGGCCGTGACGCAGCCTCGGTGCTGGAGCGGCTGATGGGCTTTCTGCCCCACCGGATCGCAGGGCTCCAGCTAGCGCCTCACTCCCGACAGCTGCCCGGCAGGGGAAAATAAGTTCACTTTAGGTCCCTCAAATTTGTTGCTCAGTATGATTTTCGAACTTGACCCGAAAAACCAGATGCAACCTATTCCCCAACTTACAAAACCAGAATAAACGAGGTCCCTCAATAGTATTATCTCCGGTTTTGACTGACGTAGCATATACGTGGCACATTTGACTAGGTCTTCGTCTCACATGGTGTTGATGTAGCGCTTATGTGGCAATTTGATATGGAGAATAATAAAAACTTTGGGCCCACTATCAGTTACACAAAAAATATTTAAAATGGTGGTGCCCACGTGGGCCTCGCATGTCCTCACTCCTCCCTCTTATCTCTCCT